GAGAGGCAAGGTGAAGAGATGATGAGAGGCAAAGGTGAAGAGATGATGAGAGGCAAGGTGAAGAGATGATGAGAGGCAAGGTGAAGAGATGATGAGAGGCAAGGTGAAGAGATGAGGAGAGGCAAGGTGAAGAGATGATGAGAGGCAAAGGTGAAGAGATGATGAGAGGCAAGGTGAAGAGATGATGAGAGGCAAAGGTGAAGAGATGATGAGAGGCAAAGGTGAAGAGATGATGAGAGGCAAGGTGAAGAGATGATGAGAGGCAAGGTGAAGAGATGATGAGAGGCAAGGTGAAGAGATGATGAGAGGCAAGGTGAAGAGATGATGAGAGGCAAGGTGAAGAGATGAGGAGAGGCAAGGTGAAGAGATGATGAGAGGCAAGGTGAAGAGATGAGGAGAGGCAAGGTGAAGAGATGATGAGAGGCAAGGTGAAGAGATGATGAGAGGCAAGGTGAAGAGATGATGAGAGGCAAGGTGAAGAGATGATGAGAGGCAAGGTGAAGAGATGATGAGAGGCAAGGTGAAGAGATGATGAGAGGCAAGGTGAAGAGATGATGAGAGGCAAGGTGAAGAGATGATGAGAGGCAAGGTGAAGAGATGATGAGAGGCAAAGGTGAAGAGATGATGAGAGGCAAGGTGAAGAGATGATGAGAGGCAAAGGTGAAGAGATGATGAGAGGCAAGGTGAAGAGATGATGAGAGGCAAGGTGAAGAGATGATGAGAGGCAAAGGTGAAGAGATGATGAGAGGCAAGGTGAAGAGATGATGAGAGGCAAGGTGAAGAGATGATGAGAGGCAAAGGTGAAGAGATGATGAGAGGCAAGGTGAAGAGATGATGAGAGGCAAGGTGAAGAGATGATGAGAGGCAAAGGTGAAGAGATGATGAGAGGCAAGGTGAAGAGATGATGAGAGGCATAGGTGAAGAGATGATGAGAGGCAAGGTGAAGAGATGATGAGAGGCAAGGTGAAGAGATGATGAGAGGCAAGGTGAAGAGATGAGGAGAGGCAAGGTGAAGAGATGATGAGAGGCAAAGGTGAAGAGATGATGAGAGGCAAAGGTGAAGAGATGATGAGAGGCAAGGTGAAGAGATGATGAGAGGCAAAGGTGAAGAGATGATGAGAGGCAAGGTGAAGAGATGATGAGAGGCAAAGGTGAAGAGATGATGAGAGGCAAAGGTGAAGAGATGATGAGAGGCAAGGTGAAGAGATGATGAGAGGCAAAGGTGAAGAGATGATGAGAGGCAAGGTGAAGAGATGATGAGAGGCAAGGTGAAGAGATGATGAGAGGCAAAGGTGAAGAGATGATGAGAGGCAAGGTGAAGAGATGATGAGAGGCAAGGTGAAGAGATGATGAGAGGCAAAGGTGAAGAGATGATGAGAGGCAAGGTGAAGAGATGATGAGAGGCAAGGTGAAGAGATGATGAGAGGCAAGGTGAAGAGATGATGAGAGGCAAAGGTGAAGAGATGATGAGAGGCAAGGTGAAGAGATGATGAGAGGCAAGGTGAAGAGATGATGAGAGGCAAGGTGAAGAGATGATGAGAGGCAAGGTGAAGAGATGATGAGAGGCAAGGTGAAGAGATGATGAGAGGCAAGGTGAAGAGATGATGAGAGGCAAGGTGAAGAGATGATGAGAGGCAAGGTGAAGAGATGATGAGAGGCATAGGTGAAGAGATGATGAGAGGCAAAGGTGAAGAGATGATGAGAGGCAAAGGTGAAGAGATGATGAGAGGCAAGGTGAAGAGATGATGAGAGGCAAAGGTGAAGAGATGATGAGAGGCAAGGTGAAGAGATGATGAGAGGCAAGGTGAAGAGATGATGAGAGGCAAGGTGAAGAGATGATGAGAGGCAAGGTGAAGAGATGATGAGAGGCAAGGTGAAGAGATGATGAGAGGCAAGGTGAAGAGATGATGAGAGGCAAGGTGAAGAGATGATGAGAGGCAAGGTGAAGAGATGATGAGAGGCAAAGGTGAAGAGATGATGAGAGGCAAGGTGAAGAGATGATGAGAGGCAAAGGTGAAGAGATGATGAGAGGCAAGGTGAAGAGATGATGAGAGGCAAGCTGAAGAGATGATGAGAGGCAAAGGTGAAGAGATGATGAGAGGCAAGGTGAAGAGATGATGAGAGGCAAAGGTGAAGAGATGATGAGAGGCAAGGTGAAGAGATGATGAGAGGCAAAGGTGAAGAGATGTTGAGAGGCAAGGTGAAGAGATGATGAGAGGCAAGGTGAAGAGATGATGAGAGGCAAAGGTGAAGAGATGATGAGAGGCAAGGTGAAGAGATGATGAGAGGCAAAGGTGAAGAGATGATGAGAGGCAAGGTGAAGAGATGATGAGAGGCAAAGGTGAAGAGATGATGAGAGGCAAGGTGAAGAGATGATGAGAGGCAAAGGTGAAGAGATGATGAGAGGCAAAGGTGAAGAGATGATGAGAGGCAAGGTGAAGAGATGATGAGAGGCAAAGGTGAAGAGATGATGAGAGGCAAGGTGAAGAGATGATGAGAGGCAAGGTGAAGAGATGATGAGAGGCAAAGGTGAAGAGATGATGAGAGGCAAGGTGAAGAGATGATGAGAGGCAAGGTGAAGAGATGATGAGAGGCAAAGGTGAAGAGATGATGAGAGGCAAGGTGAAGAGATGATGAGAGGCAAAGGTGAAGAGATGATGAGAGGCAAGGTGAAGAGATGATGAGAGGCAAGGTGAAGAGATGAGGAGAGGCAAGGTGAAGAGATGATGAGAGGCAAGGTGAAGAGATGAGGAGAGGCAAGGTGAAGAGATGATGAGAGGCAAGGTGAAGAGATGAGGAGAGGCAAGGTGAAGAGATGATGAGAGGCAAGGTGAAGAGATGATGAGAGGCAAGGTGAAGAGATGATGAGAGGCAAGGTGAAGAGATGATGAGAGGCAAGGTGAAGAGATGACGAGAGGCAAGGTGAAGAGATGACGAGAGGCAAGGTGAAGAGATGATGAGAGGCAAGGTGAAGAGATGATGAGAGGCAAGGTGAAGAGATGATGAGAGGCAAGGTGAAGAGATGATGAGAGGCAAGGTGAAGAGATGATGAGAGGCAAGGTGAAGAGATGATGAGAGGCAAGGTGAAGAGATGATGAGAGGCAAGGTGAAGAGATGATGAGAGGCAAAGGTGAAGAGATGATGAGAGGCAAAGGTGAAGAGATGATGAGAGGCAAAGGTGAAGAGATGATGAGAGGCAAGGTGAAGAGATGATGAGAGGCAAAGGTGAAGAGATGATGAGAGGCAAAGGTGAAGAGATGATGAGAGGCAAGGTGAAGAGATGATGAGAGGCAAAGGTGAAGAGATGATGAGAGGCAAGGTGAAGAGATGATGAGAGGCAAAGGTGAAGAGATGATGAGAGGCAAAGGTGAAGAGATGATGAGAGGCAAAGGTGAAGAGATGATGAGAGGCAAGGTGAAGAGATGATGAGAGGCAAGGTGAAGAGATGATGAGAGGCAAGGTGAAGAGATGATGAGAGGCAAGGTGAAGAGATGATGAGAGGCAAGGTGAAGAGATGATGAGAGGCAAGGTGAAGAGATGATGAGAGGCAAGGTGAAGAGATGATGAGAGGCAAGGTGAAGAGATGATGAGAGGCAAGGTGAAGAGATGATGAGAGGCAAGGTGAAGAGATGATGAGAGGCAAAGGTGAAGAGATGATGAGAGGCAAGGTGAAGAGATGATGAGAGGCAAGGTGAAGAGATGATGAGAGGCAAGGTGAAGAGATGATGAGAGGCAAGGTGAAGAGATGATGAGAGGCAAGGTGAAGAGATGATGAGAGGCAAGGTGAAGAGATGATGAGAGGCAAGGTGAAGAGATGATGAGAGGCATGGTGAAGAGATGATGAGAGGCAAGGTGAAGAGATGATGAGAGGCAAGGTGAAGAGATGACGAGAGGCAAGGTGAAGAGATGATGAGAGGCAAGGTGAAGAGATGATGAGAGGCAAGGTGAAGAGATGATGAGAGGCAAGGTGAAGAGATGATGAGAGGCAAGGTGAAGAGATGATGAGAGGCAAGGTGAAGAGATGATGAGAGGCAAGGTGAAGAGATGATGAGAGGCAAAGGTGAAGAGATGATGAGAGGCAAAGGTGAAGAGATGATGAGAGCAAGGTGCAAAAAAACGACGTTTTTTTCAAATTTTGATCGTAAAATACCGTATCGTAAGAAACGATCGTAAAAAACGGTTTTTGAAAATAAATACTTTTGGTGCAAAAAAACCTTCGTTTTTTTCAGTAAAAAGACCAAAACTGCTGCTGAAACAAGGGGATTGATTGGTGAGAAGAACAAGGGGGCCGTTAGAAGTGCTGATGATGCAGCGGAAGATTGTTAGAAGTGCTTTTGTGATCAGAACAGCATCTTTGAAGTTGAAGAGTTTTTTTTGTCTAACAAAAAAACGCCGTTTTTTTCCCAAAAGGTACCGTAAATAACCATCGAAAAAAACAATCGTATTTTTCGACAATCGTTTTTTTCTACCTTGGATGAGAGGCAAGGTGTGGTGGGAAAGAATGCCGGAGGAGGAGGCGGATATGGGAGAGGCGGATATGGGAGAGGCGGATATGGGAGAGGCGGATATGGGAGAGGCGGATATGGGAGAGCAACGGCCATGACCCACGGCATGGTGCCAATTTCCGCCTCAGTGTCCCAGGAGATGGAGGATTCGACTTAGACCAAGGTCCAGCAGATCAAACTCGTTTTTTAGAATTCTCAAAACCACCCTGCAGGAGATTGAGGATTCGATTCAGATCCAGACCAAGGTCCAGCAGATCAAACACATTCAATACTCGCTATCGTAAGTGTCAAGGCTAGGGATTAGGTAGACCAGGAATATACAGGGAATGACGAATTTTAGGAGGAGTTTAGTCTGCTGGATCCGGGTCGGATCTTTGATTTCTTGGGACACTGCCGGCATTGGTCACTGGCCAGGGTTAAGCACAAGCAGGCAAAGACCAAAGGCCGTCACAGCCATACAAGAGCTTCAACCGTATACATCACTCGTGCACTCACAGGCACGGCAGCTGGCTGCAAAGGTGAGTTCACCAGCGATGAAGACGAGGATGAGCAGGAGGAACAGCCGGTGATTGCGCCGACCTGAAAGGCGCCAGAAGAATGTGTGAAGAGAAAGAAATGCTTGTTGAAAGAATGTGTGTAGTTTAATTGCTAGTAAAGAAGGTGTGTGTCGGAAAAAATGCTTTGCTGCAAGAATGTGTGTGAACAGAAAGTGTTTCAAAAGAATGCACCAAATCCAGAATGTTGTGAATCACAACTTGTCATCATGAGCGCTATTGAGTCAAGGCTGGAGAGGGGAAGGAGGGAGTCACAGCTGCCAATGTTCTGCCATGGCAGAGTCAAAGTCAAGTCAAGTCAAGTCAAGTCAAGTCAAATCCCCAAGTCAATGTCAAAGTCAACTTCAAAAACCAGGTCAAAGGCAGAGTGGTTGGCGATGGTGGTCGACGGTCCGTCGACCTCGTTTTGTTGAGACATCCCCCCGAGTCAATGTCAAAGTCAACTTCAAAGAACCAGGTCAAGGACAGAGTCTAAGGCGTGCTACGTGCTCCACCACACACAAGACTTTAGAGCTTGATCCCGTGCGAGGGTCAAAGCAGCCACAATGATGCACACACGAGGCAGCACAGTGGCAAACGAATTCTCACAAACGGACGTTCACACAAACAAACGCACACAACAGACACAATCATCCCATACACATGGTAGAATCGAAGGGGTTGGAACAGTTGCTATCCAGCATGTGTTGTGTGTGCTTATAACGAGTCATACCCACGCAGGTGCCTATAGCGGGGCAGTGGTGGTCGTATCGGTCCACACAGCGACGGCACTTCCAGCAGTGCCGCGACCGCGCCCACCGCCACACCTGCACGCACGTAGGGGGAAGGGGACGGAGGGAGGACAGGGCAGGGATGTTGGTGTCCCTTTGTCATGTGTTGATGTCACATTGGTGTCATGTGTGTCCATGTTGGTCCACACAGCGATGGCACTTCCAGCAGTGCCGCGACCACACCCAGCGCCAAACCTGCATAAAGTTTTATCATGTAGAACTTTATCGTGTTTACTAAGACATTCGCCGCATGCATGCATGCACTCCTCCCCCCGGAAACCCTTTCATGCACCCCCCCCCCCCCCACCGCCTCCCGAATCTCCCAATACTCTTGTCATGATGTGGGATTCGATCTGATTCAATGACGTGCTCATATTTTGTTCTTACACTGCCACCAAAGAGAGATCACGCCTGCTCGACCACCGCTAGCTGCTACTCACGCACATGACACTCGTGGCAGTAGTTGCTGGGTTTCCAGAACCACGCCCACCACTGCTGCTGCTGCTGCTGCTGCTGCTGCTGCTGCTGCTGCGGCTGCGGCGTCGGCTGCGGCGGCGGCTGCGTCTGCTGCTGCTGCTGCAGCCCTTGCTGTTGGATTAGTGGCACCTCCTCCTGCGTCTCCCCTCGGCCCTCCGCGTGCATGCCTCCTTGCAGCAGCGGCTGCACGTGCACATCATCACCCAGTTCGACCCTTGTGTCACCTATCCCTGCTTGTTGAAACATCACACGGCTGCTGCTGCCTGCTTCAGGCTGCTTGTCAGCCGGTAAGGGCACACAGCCAATGCCATCCTGAAGATTAGGGATAACACAGGCAGGTGAGAGGGGGGGGAGGCAGCTGCGATTGCACGTCTCCCAGTTCAACCCTCGTGTCGCCAGATCCTTGCTGCTGGACTGGGAGACCATCACATCACACGGCTGTTGCTACCTGCTTCAGGCTGCTGGTCAGCTGGTAAGGGCACACAGCCAATGCCATCCTGAAGAGGGCGAAATCAGGGGTAACACACACAGGCGGGGGAGAGGGAGGGCGGAGAAGGGGATGAGGGTTGGGATGAGATTGTCTGTGTGCCATAGTTAATGATTCTCAGAATATATAATTTTGGGAATTCTCAAAATTGACTCGGAGACAACGACTGTTATCTTGCCTTTCGAAGCCACTGCCGTTAGAACAGAGCAGCTGTTGTTTTAAAAAGGCAAGATTACTGTCGCTAACCATGGCTTCAAGTAAAAACGGGTGTGACTTGAAAACACGTAAGACAACCAACCAACCAACAGAGAAAGTCTCTGAAAAAAAAAAAAAAAAAAAAAAAAACTCTATCAAACAATTCTTATTTTCAGTCTTCATATACTTCTTCATCGCATAAATAACCAAATCCATTTTAGACAACAGAGCTGAGAAATAGCGCCTTGCGGACTTTGTTCTGGTGATGGGAACAGTACATCGATGTCGGATGGGAGTGTGGTGTGCAACATGCGATATAAGTGTCACAACGAAGAAACGTGCACGTGAACACCCCACCCCGCCCCCCGCCCCCCCCCCCCCCCCCCCCGCCTCTTCCACACACAAACAAACACACACACACACACATGCAGAAGCGCACACACACGCACGGCCCCTCCTCCCCTCTCCCCTTTTCCCCCCCCTCCCTCCCCCCACACACATCGTACGTCATCTGAAGGCGCTGATCCAGTCTCATTCCCTCGCACAACCAACCCTCCTAGCTTTGAGGCGCCTCAAAACTAGACCCCTTCCCTCTACCCCCCCCCCCCCCCTCCCTCCCCCCAGACACATCGTACGTCATTTGAAGGCGCTGCTCCAGTCTCATTCCCTCGCACAACCAGCCCTCCTTGCTGCCCTTGCTGCTGCTGCTGCTGCTGCTGCTGCTGCTGATCTCGATGTCTCTGCTGCTGCTCCTCCCACTCCCTCACTTGCCTGTACCAGCTTTTCCACTGCTCCTCATTCCCCTGCCCCTGCCCCTGCCCCTGCCCCTGCCCCTGCCCCTGCCCTGCCCCTGCCCCTGCCCTGCCCCTGCCCCTGCCCTGGCCCCTGCCCCTGCCCCTGCCCTGCCCCTGCCCCTGCCCCTGCCCCGCCCTGCCCCCTGCCCCTGCCCCTGCCCCTGCGCCCTGCCCCTGCCCCTGCCCCTGCCCCTGCCCTGCCCCTGCCCCTGCCCCTGCCCCTGCCCCTGCCCCTGCCCCTGCCCCTGCCCCTGCCCCTGCCCCTGCCCCTGCCGCCTGCCCCTGCCCGCCTGCCCCTGCCCCTGCCCCTGCCCCTGCCCCTGCCCTCGCACCTGCCCCTGCCCCTGCCCCTGCCCCTGCCCCTGCCCCTGCCCCTGCCCCTGCCCCTGCCCCCTGCCCCTGCCCGCCCCTGCCCCTGCCCCTGCCCCTGCCCCTGCCCCTGCCCCTGCCCCTGCCCCTGCCCCTGCCCCTGCCCCTGCCCCTGCCCCTGCCCCTGCCCCTGCCCCTGCCCCTGCCCCTGCCCCTGCCCCTGCCCCTGCCCCTGCCCCTGCCCCTGCCCCTGCCCCTGCCCCTGCCCCTGCCCCTGCCCCTGCCCCTGCCCTGCCCCTGCCCCTGCCCCTGCCCCTGCCCCTGCCCCTGCCCCTGCCCCTGCCCCTGCCCCTGCCCCTGCCCCTGCCCCTGCCCCTGCCCCTGCCCCTGCCCCTGCCCCTGCCCCTGCCCCTGCCCCTGCCCCTGCCCCTGCCCCTGCCCCTGCCCCTGCCCCTGCCCCTGCCCCTGCCCCTGCCCCTGCCCCTGCCCCTGCCCCTGCCCCTGCCCCTGCCCTGCCCTGCCCCTGCCCCTGCCCCTGCCCTGCCCCTGCCCCTGCCCCTGCCCCTGCCCCTGCCCCTGCCCCTGCCCCTGCCCCTGCCCCTGCCCCTGCCCCTGCCCCTGCCCCTGCCCCAACTCCTGCCTCCCATGCTGCAAATCCTGCTTTCCCTGCTGCTGCCCTGCCACCTCATCGCCTTCCCCTCCCACACTTCCACCGTCTGCCATCCCACACCCACTGGCCCGCACTCCTCCTCTCGCCTCCTCCCCATCTTGCCTTCTAAGGATCTGTGCCCCATAACCCGCTGGGGGCTCGCCCTTGGGAATGAACCCGGGATCCGTGTGGTAGGTGCTGTGAGGGTATTGGGGGCGGGAGGAGATGGAGGCAGGGACAGGGGGGAGAAGGGATTGAACTACTATCACCTCTTCCATGCAATGCCCCTCAGTGCTGGAAATCGGCATCCCATAACCCGGTTGGGGCTCGCCCTTGGGAATGAATCCAGGATCCGTGTGGTAGGTGCTGCGGGGATTGGGGGGAAAAGAGGCAGGGACAGGGGGAGAAGAGATTGAATTCCTCTCGCCTCCTCCTCCCCACACCACTACCCCTTACTCATGGAGATCAGCGCCCCATAACTCGGTGGGGGCTCAACCTTGGGATTGAATCCGGGATCCGTGTGGTAGGTGCTGAGGGAAGGGATGGCGGAAAAGGCAGAGAAACCTGGAAACGGGGAGAAGGGAAAGGGGGAGAAAGAGGGTGGAGAAGGAGAGTATGTGAAGGAGCAGGTGCGATTTAGCTTTGATCTAAAAATCTGTCCCAGCCAAGAAAGAACGATGTTCCGCAAAGGGACGATGTTCTGCAAAGGCTTCATCGATCGGGGATAGGACCAGATACAGTGAAATGCATGGCGCCTTACAAGAGAAACTTCCGAGGCGCCACAACAAGGATCAGGTACGATAGCACGAAATGGAATGAAATGGAATAGAATGGAAGGTAATGGAAGGGAAGGGCACAGGCTCACAGGAAGTAGAGGGGGAAGACGAGAGCAACACAGGCGTGAACCAATGCAGAGAGCAACGCTGAGATGCCTGGACGACAACGGGGGAAGGGGGCGTGGGGGGGGGGGCGGAGGGGGGCGTGGAGGAGGGGGAGGGGAGGAGGGGGACAGAGGCGAGCTGGGGCTCAAATTGTTCAGTTGGGCGGGCTCACAGCAAGTGGAGTGGGACGACGAGAGCGACAGAGGCGTGCATGAGAGAAGAGAGGCGAGGCGAAACGCCTGAATGGAATTGGAAGAGAGGGAAGGAGGGAGGAAGGGCGGGGGAGTGTGTGGAACAGGATTGTAATTTGGGTTGAGCAGTGGAGGAGTGAGCGACAGGGTTGAGCGACAGGGAAGTGAAAGAGAGCATGAGAGCACGAGAATGAGCAAGGCGAGAAGAATGCCTGGATGGAATGGGTGGGTGGGTGGGAGGGAGGCAGCAAGAATTGTACCGCGGCAAGAAGGTTCCGTAAACGAACGAGGAAGTTGACTGCGGAAACGACGGGGAGAGCGCAGGCTGCAAGTGACCCGGGCATTGCGCATTGGCGTGCTGATAGTGCGTGCATGCGTGCATGCATGTGCGTGCACGTGTGCGTGAGTGCATGTGCATGTGCATGTGCATGTGTGTGTGCCACTCACGGTAGCGGAGGAGCAGCAGGAAGGTTCCATAGGCGAGCAGGTTGATGGAGGAGATGACAGAAGGGAAGAAGGGCCGCGAGGAGATGATGGTGAGAGTGAGCGTTCTACTCAGCAGCACCCAGATGGTCATGGGCGCGACTGGCATGGTGGAGAGAAGATGAGCATGCATGGCATGGCATGGCATGGCATGATGGAGAGGAGATGAGGGAGGGGGAGAAGGCGCGTGAAGAGATGATGGTGCGCGTGAGTGTTCTCCCCAGCTGCACCCAGATGGTCATGGGCGCGACTGGGATGGTGGAGAGGAGATGAGCGCATGGCATGGCATGGCATGGCATGGAATGGCATGGCATGGCATGGAATTCACAGACAGACACATGCATGGCGGTGTTGGCATGGACAGACGCATGGATGGCGTGGTATGCAGAGACAGACGCATGCATGCATGGCATGACATGCAGGGGCAGGCACGTGCATGTGAAGACGCATGCAAGCACGTAGACAACGACACATGCACACATACATGAAGGCATGCACATAAACGCATGGATGCATGCGCATACACGCACGGGACACAGACACGTAAGCATGGGCACGTTTGCAGGTCTCATGTTAACAGGACCCGTGAGAGGAAAGGGGGAGAATGGAGGGTGGTTGAGCTCTCCGATTAGAGAGGAACCGCAAGCACGCACGCATACACGCATGGGGGCACGGACACGTAAGCATGGGCACGTTTGCAGGTCTCATGTCAACAGGACCCGTGAGAGGAAAGGGGGAGAATGGAGGGTGGTTGAGCTCTCCGATTAGAGAGGAACCGCAAGCACGCACGCATACACGCATGGGGGCACGGACACGTAAGCATGGGCACGTTTGCAGGTCTCATGTCAACAGGACCCGTGAGAGGAAAAGGGGAGAATGGAGAGGGCAGGGGGTGAGTTCTCTGACTAGAACGGAACCGCAAATACGCACGCCTACAGTCACACGTACTGACGTGACATGGCGCTTAGATCACGATCGTTATAAGCACGAATTTCAGCAGCCAGAAGTAGCATTGATCCGCTAACAGCAGCATAGTTCCGTTACCAGCGAATAGTAGCGTCTCGGAAACGGTTCCTCGCTTGCATGCCTCTATAATCCCCGTCAGCATCAGAAAAAACCACGCCGGCAGGATCCATGGCAGCACGAACGGCCATACAGCTCGCAGCGAAGCCGGCAATATCGAGGACAGCGGCCTCCCCATCCTTTGCAAGGGGCTATACGGTGAATGCGAGCTATTGAGGCAACGTGCGCATTCACGGCGTCATTCCAATGGCTGATTGGCAGAATGAAGCTGATTCCGAACCGTGACGGTACTGTCCTGAGGACACGCGATGCGATTGGAACGGCTTGTGCGATTCGGAAGGAGGCTTGTTTGCTAATAACGAATATACGGACACCCAGATTTCAAAATTCTTGTGCACTGAAATGGAGATAGGGCGAATTGTGTACGCGCTCTTGACGTCCTCGTGAATCACCTACACTGCACGAAAGAGTATGGAAAACAAAAATAACTGGGCTGCCCACGTCTAGACGCGACCAAGTTTATCTGGCCTCCACCCGGCTTCCAGAGCGGTGATCGGCCGGCGTCGGAAAACAAATGGGTGCAAGATGGTTTGAGTAATTTCGGAGAGTTGTCATGCGTTACACAGTGATTTGAAATGTACCCACACCCTGATAACCACCACCTTTCACTCCTCGGCTTCCAGAGAGATCCACGGCCGGCTTCGGGAGAACAAATGGGTGCAAGATGGTTTGAGTAATTTCGGAGGGTTTTTATGCGTTACACAGTGATTTGAAATGTTACCCACACCCTGATAACCCACCACAACCTCCACTCGTCGGCCGGCGGTTGGCCTTTCGGGTTTCCCGTCGATTTTCTCTCCACGAACACGGGGAGTTGCTACACGACTGAGGCGTCCGTACCTCCTATCTGTTGGCGTCCGTACCTCCTATCTGTTGGCGTCCGTACCTCCTATCTGTTGGCGTCCGTAGTACCTCCTATCTGTTGGCGTCCGTAGTACCTCCTATCTGTTGGCGTCCGTACCTCCGATCTGTTACCGTACTGCAAATAACCGTGCATAAGTACGGTCGGGCTCCGCGCTCATCATGTGCTCCTTGTTGTCCCGTGCACAGCGACTTAGTACTATTCAGTTCTTAATCATCGCTTTAGTATTAAGTTTTTAATCATCGCTTCAGTATTAAGTTCTTAATCAGCGCAGAAGGTATCGTAAGCTATCTGGTATTGCACTTTGCTTTGAAACAACTCCGCTCTAGCCACAACAGTGCGCGCCGATGCAGTGACAGCGGTGCGACGATTTCTCAGACTTGAATACTACTACTACTACACGCCAGCTACAGACCGCTCTCTATGGCGCCACTTTATTCGTTAGAGCGAGCGAGCAAAGCTTGCGACGGACCTGACGGCACCACGACGCCAAAACCTCGAAAATGGCAAGCCGAGAAATGGTTAACGGTTCACGCCCGCGTCGCCATCGCTCTCGCCGTTTTGTTCGCTCTCATTGGCCTATACACATACTTTATTTCTTTTCTCCTCGTTCGGTATACAAGAATCGCCTCCACTTTATCAGCTGCCTCCGTCGCTGCTACGTGTCATCCTGACGTGGCAGACGTGCTCGCGGCCACGTCAGCAGAATCAGGAAAAGCAGCTGGACACGACGAGTTACTAGCAGAAGTACAGAAGCCACGTGAGCCAACTCAGCTGCTGTTCCACCCCTCCGAAGCCAGCAATCATCCTGACGGGAATCAATCACTGTCAGCCGTCGATCAACTGTCTCCAATCAATCAACCGTCTGCCGGAGATCAGTTAGTTGTTGCGGTAACTGATTCTTCTCGCCTTCAAGTCGCAGACCCTTCGCCTGTAAACAGCACAACGGCATTCCCATTAAATCTCACTACCTCAAACTCTACCTCAGACTCAGCAGTTATCGAGGCGCCAAAAGAGTCATCCTCAGCAGATTCAGGAGGCACCTTATCCACACAGATATCGCCATCGTCCCATGATCCCAGTGTCGGTTCTCCTCCTCCCACCGATCCTCTTACCAAACCGCCTACCGACCCTCCTACCAAACCTCCTTCCGATCCTCCTCCCACCGAACCTGCAACTGAACCTCCTACCGACCCTTCTACCAACTCTTCCACCAAACCTCCTACCCAACCTCTTACCAGTCCTCCTACCAACCCTCCTACCGAACCTCCTCCATCCGAGCCTGCACCAAGCCTCTGGACCCGAATCCCGGGCTCCGTGCTAGACTCCCCCGAAAAGATCCGATCCTTCCGAGAAAGATTCGATTGCATAGGCCGCGAGGGAGAGTGGTCCCACTTCGTCTCACCACGACTACTGCCATGGCCGGACGAGATGAGCAAATGCGACGTGTTCCATTTAGGAAAGAACTCGCGCAACGTGGCGTTGCAAGACGCGGATCGGATGGTGGGGCAGTTTCAGGAGGTTGCGAGTCAAATAGAGGAGATTATCGGGGGAGGAGACGTGATTCCTGTGAAACGAGTTAACCAGTTGAAGAAGCTGAAGAGACGGAAGGATGTTCTCATGCGTCAGTGGGCCGTAAGGGATTCTCTAAAGTACTTTTGGAAGGTTCCAGGAAGCGAGGCCGAGGGGCAGGATGGGGGAGCATCAGGAGCTACCAACGGCAGCAGATGCGGTGCACCTTGGGATCAGTTTTCCCCAGAGGAGTTCTGCGAAATCATGGATAAGAAAACCATGCTTATAGTGGGTGATTCATTGAACCTGCTTTTAGCCGATGCCATCCGATTCAACGTGAGACTAGGTGCGAAGGACCAGGACTCTGCCAAGGACCAGGACGATACAGCCAAGGACCAGAACTCTGCCAGATTAGGCACTGCCAAGCCCCGGGTACAGTGGGGCGAGCCCACAGCCTACTGCCAGCGGTACCAAAACGCGACCAAGAAGAAAGACCCGCGCTGCTGGACCCTCCACCTCTGCGCGGATCTCGGCTTCTCCTTGCGGGTTTTCTTTGTCCGCGACTATTACCTCAACTCCACGGAAGACGTGAACGATTTCTTACTGGATAAGAGCTTCGACGAGTCGTGGATGGACGAGATCGCAGCACAGAACGTATCGATGGTGGTGATGAACCGAGGCGCCCACTACATTTCAGACGACAGGTTTGAGCGGCAGTTGCAGTCCACTCTGCTGGCCCTCCGACAGGCCCACCCCGAGCTCCTTATTATCGCCCGAAACACCCCTGCCGGTCACCCCGGATGCTGGCTGCACCGGAAGCCGCTTTCCCAGAAGCTTCTGGAGCTGCCGCACGATGACTGGCACTGGGACGGGTTTGCGGCGCAGAATGGGATTGTGAGGAGGTTGGTGGAGGGCGTGGGGGGCGTGTACATGGATGTGAATGCGTCGACTGTGTGGCGACCCGATGGGCATGTGGGGCGCTGGGACTGCCTGCACTACTGCCACCCGGGGCCTGTAGATACATGGGTGCAGCTTCTCTTCAACCTGCTGCTGGGGCTGCTCGTGGCTGCTGAATGAGATGCTGCTGAGAGTATAGTATAACACTTTTGAAGCATGTGGGGTGGTGAGTGACTGACGGCCTGCTCTGCTAAGATCCGCGGCCACAGTGCACATGGGTGCAACTGCTGCTCTTCAACCTGCTGCTGAGGTTGCTTGTGCCCACCTGCTGAGATGCTGAGAGTATACCTAGCACTCTCAGAAGGCATGTTGGGTGGTGGTGGGTGACTGCCAGCCTGCACTTCTGCCATGCCACCCCGGGTCACTGGGCACATGGGTGCAGCTGCTGCTCTTCAACCTGCTGCTGGGGCTGGTGCTACGCACCTGAGGTGTATAACATAATGAACTGAACACTGTGCAGTAGCTGATTAGAGAGAAGGTATACTGTAGCGGCAAAAAATAACAGGCAAATAAAAATGACCGTACCGTAGTGCAGTACTTGCGTGCATGTATCCACCGGCAATGGCTGACACAATAACGAGTATATTTCACATTCAGAAACACCCCTCCAACCATCTCCACCAGTCCCTTTGCACTCCTATTCAGAAACACCCCATCCCCGTTCTCACCATCCGCAAGCGGAAATTTTAATGAGCTCTTTTACTGGCTCTTGCTCCCAGCAGTTGGTGTTCACAGTGAGGGAGCTTATAAAGAGGATGAGCCGGTGGGGATAGGCATGAGACCTGGATGTGGGGTGGGGATGCCGCTGGCTGTTCCTCTGACAGGCTTTTCACAACCTTGAGACCACTCTCCCTGACCTTCACCTTCCCTGCAAGCAACGATTACCCTCTGACCACGATCCTCTCTCTTCTTTGCTCGCAATTGGTTTTCGGATCCTCGCGATTGCTGGGACTGCGTTTCCACCTCTGCTGCTTCTCCTCCTTCGTCTCCTGCTGCTGCTGCGAATCCGCCTGTGCTGCTCGTTAGTCCGCACCCTCCTTCTCTTCCCTCTTTCCTCCAACCCCTTTCCGCCCCTTCTGGCTCAAAGACGAGGTCGGAGCTGGACCGTTCGTTTGCTCCCCATGGCTATCTGAACCAGGAACGGATCCATCCGAACCGTTATGGTCCTCCACGGTTTATCCACGCGAATTTCTTCCATGATTCCCGGATCTTATCCTGAGATTCTCGCGCAGATCCCGAAATCCGGTTCAATCTGCTCAGGTAAACTGCATTGCCCGATTCGGCAGTACCGGAGTCCCCATACTAGTTTCTATTGCTGTCCTGCTGTCTAAAAAAAAAAGATATTCGGTTTGAAACTCTTCAAGAATCGAACCTCCGAAAGTACCGGCGGGTTTTAATTTGGCCCTTAGACGATGACCATTCCCGCAAACAAGTGAAGATCATTCGAAAACATCGAAACAAGCGACGCGCGCAGCAGAGAATAACGACGGTGACGATGAATTACGGTAACTGACGGTCTCGCCTCGCTTCGCTGCCTCGCGGTAACGATCCCCCCCGCGCGGCGAGCTGGCGCGTCGATGCATGATGAAACTGGAGGATTCCTAAGCTTAGGACTTGCTAATCGTGAACCACAACCGAAACGGAAAGAACAAGGTTGGTAATATATCTGGGACGACAATCGATTCTCCAACCACAGCCCCTTGAGTTTGCCTACAACCCAGAAAATGCCACGTGACATGACGGAAAGCGGCAGTATTTTGCATGAAATGCTACACTGCACTGCACCTTCTCATGTGGCTGCAGAACAACACCATTGGCTGCCAACACAAACGCCGAAACCCAACAAGCAGCGAATTCATAACACCATCACAGGAGGACGGACGTGAGTGTTGGTGGTGGTGGTTTTGGAGGGTCTGTAATGATGGGCTGGTTTTGTGGTTGGTGTGTTGTGACTATATTGAAGGTTCTGTAACGGGCATGGTAGGGGGCTGGTTTGGTGGTTGGTGTCTTGTGACTGTGTTGAAAGGTTGTGGTAGGGGGCTGGTTTAATGGCTGGCGTGCTGTGACTGTAGTGAAGGGAACCTTATGGGCCTGGTTTGGTGGTTGGTGTCTTGTGACTGTGTTGAAAGGTTCTGTTAGGGGGCTGGTTTAATGGCTGGCGTGCTGTGACTGTAGTGAAGGGCATGGTTGGGGGCTGGTTTGGTGGTGTGTGTGTTGTAACTGTAGTGAAGTGTTCTGTTCGGTGACTGGAACCTTGGGTAATGTATTGTGTTGTGATTGTTTAGAATGACCCTAATTGATTCATCCCGTACTGTACTCCTCTTCCATCCACCAGCCCCCCCCCCCCCCCGGCGGCTACGCGAACAACTGGATGGCCTTCGGCTGAGCGACGTGCACTGGGACGCTCTCGTTGAGCTCAAGGAGTTCCTTGAGCCGTTCAACTCCATCACGAAGGCAGCCGAGGGTTCCTTGTACCCCACGGCTGCTTCAGTCGTGCCGTTGTACAACCAGCTGCTAGACAAGCTGGAGATCTCCTATCGTAAGGAAGGCGTCACTCCCCTCCGACAGGCTCTCGTCTCTGCAGCCCTAGCCAAGCTGAAGAAGTACAAGTACGGGGAGAAGGAAGAGTTGGTGATTGCCACCTTCCTGGACCCCCGCTACAAGACCGTCTTCTTCCAGCTGCCGAAGTGGGAGGCGCGCAATGCTGCGCGCGTCACAGAGGTGGGGGGGTGTGCTAGGAGGGTGCAGGATGTAGATGAGGGGTCGGTGATACGGCTGGTGCGTGTGCGTTTGGCCGAGTACCAGGCGCGAGTGAGCAGCCGCAGGCAGGGTGGAGAGGGCACGAGCGCGTTGGGGGGGGGCACTGGGCCGAGCGGCGTTACTGGTGGGACCTCGGGCACGACGGGTGCTGCTGGAGGTGGGGGAGGGGGCTTTGAGCACTCCATCTTTGACGAGATGGATGCTCTGGAGGCAGCTGCAGGGGGGGGGGGCACAGGACGAGGTTGACCGGTATTTAGCTGAGCCCAGGCAGAGAGGTGATTGCTCGTTGGCTTTCTGGCGGGCGAGGGAGGATTACGAGGTTCTGAGGGAGATGGCTCGAGACTATTTGGCTGTGCCCGCCACTTCTGCTGCTAGCGAGCGAGCCTTTAGTCAGGGGAGGAACGTTATTACATGGCAGCGCCATCGCCTTACCGCTGGCCGTGTTCGCGCCGTCATGGCAATCAAGTCATGGTTGGCGCAGAACACTAGCGGCAGGAGCCTCAATGTTGGGGCCGCTCGTTTGCTCGAGGAGCTTTGTTATGAGGGTGAGGGTGATGGGTTCTGACTTGTGGCTGGAGCTGGTTGTGACTGTAGGCATGTGGTTGTTGAGACTTTGGGCGTGTGGTGGTTGTGAAGCTATTGCACCAATTAGAAGGTGCATGAACCCGATATTATTGTTATTAAGTTATACAATGAAGGTCTAGTGACTGCGGTAGCACCGTGCATCTCGTAAAACGCACGTTGTGATGGTGTATTCGTGCGCGCACACTGGTTTGAAAAGAAACATGTAACAATGCCATCAACTAACAAAAACAAGCATCTGTTAACAAATGTAGTGTCAATAGAGGTTAGGAGAAACACATAAAAACATACATATTATATGCGTAAACGGGTATACCCGACCCGACCACGGGTAATTCGAACCGACCTCGGGTTCTAAATACCCGAGCGTTAAATGGCGGGTCGGGTACACAAACTGACCCCTAATACCCGAGGTCGGGTTTCCCGACCCGACCCGACTACACCCTCGGGTAGCCTAAAACGGGTCGGGTCGGGTCGGGTCGGGTCAATGCCCATGCCTCCTCCTTCCAAGCATCCCCAAGACCGCATTTTGTGCCCTTTTTCCCAGCGTTCAGGCACTCGTAGAACAGCTTTCGACCGAAGATTGCTTTCATTTACGACCTTTTTCTGTGCTCGAAATCGAAAGAATCGCTTGGAGTTGGTGCAAGTCGCGAGCTTTGAGGCACCCGTAGCGTGTACATCGTGTCGGGTCGGTGCATGGAAAGTGCATCCACCGGAGCGCGTGCTATTTCCCGTCTTTCTTATAGTGTGTTTCCGTTACCTTTAAGAATCTCTTCATCCCCCTTGGCGCCATGATTCTGGCCCTCCCAGCGGTGTGCGCCGCGCCGTCGAGCAATGTCCGCCTCGTTTCAAGGCGTTACACTAAAGGGTTCGCACCATCCGCGAAAGAGCTTGCGCCATCCGCGCCGGTCTCGTTTTGCCACCTTCCCCGGGCGCCGCGCCTTGCCTTTGCGCGCGCAACACACCAGCTCCGTGCATTCGGGAAGGACTTTGGCCGCGCACCTCATACCCGGAGGGCGGCATGCGCGCATGCTTCCGCCGCGCGCGGAGGTGAAAGCGCGGAAGGTGCTTATAACGCGGCCAGCAGCCCGTCGCAGGGGAATGTGACAGTAGTGAAGGAGAGGGAGGGGGAGCAGAGCGGCGGAAGGGGCGTAGGAGCGGACGCGGAGGCGGGGAGCAGAGGGGCAGTGGCGGAAAACAGAGGGAGAGAGAGTGAGGGAGGGAGTGAGAGAGTGAGTGAGGGAGGGGGTGAGAGGGAGAGGGAGAGGGGGCTGTACACGGAGTTCGTGGAGCATTGTGTGGAGGCCATGGGTCAGCACATGCCGCTCTCGCCCATCCCCGTACGGGTATGTAACACGTGCTCTCTGGTTTGCATGGTGTGGGGTGTGCGTTCTTCTTGAGTCGACTAAAAAAACAGTGTGGAGGCCAGGTCAGCACATGCCGCTCTCGCCCATCCCCGTACGGGTATGGTATGCGTGCCCTCAGTTTTTGGCTTTCAACTTTGCATGGTGTGAGGTAATTGCTGTTATTCTCAGTCAATACCTTCTCAGTCCCCTTTCCGTCAATACCTTCTCAGTCCCCTTTCCGTCAATACTTTCTCAGTCCCCTTTCCGTCAATACTTTCGCAGTCCCCTTTCCTTCAATACCTTCACCACGTTCGCCTATTACCTAGTTCTTTCCCACCCCCTCCCCACCCCCCCTCGTCTCCCCTCTCCTCTCCCTCTTTCCCCACTCCCAGCCGGATTTGGCAGGCGCTGAAGGTTAGTGACGACACGGGGGGGAGTGGAACGCCTCATGTTTCCTTCTCTCTGGGCCCCCCACACCTCTCTTCACACCAGCCGGACTGGCACGTGTTGGAGGGCAGTGATGGTTAGGGGGGGGAAATTTTAACTCAAAATAGTCTCCTTCTCGCCCCATCTCCCCCCTTTCGCCAGTCCGACTGGCAGGTGCTCGAGGGCAGTGACGGCGAGGGGGGGAAAAGTCAACTCAAATATTCTCCTTCTCGTCCCCTCTCCCCGCTTTCCCCCGCCAGTCGGACTGGCAGGTGTTGGAGGGCAGTGACGGCGAGGGGGGGAAGGCGTTCTGTCGCAGTGTGGCAGTGAGTGCGCCCAAGATCCGCCTCATGCGCTCCGCTGACATCAGCGCCGGGCGCACATTGCAGGTGAGCAAGGGAGCCCCGGCAAGGAGCAGAGCAGAGCAACGCAGTGATGGGCATGGCATGTGGTAGCAGTAATGGCATCACGGCTGGCAGCTTGGCAGTGAGTGCGGACCCGCCCCATGCGCTCCGCCGATATCAGCGCTGGGCGCACGTTGCAGGTGTGCGCGCGTTGGGGTAGGTGGTTGGACCGTGGGACTTGACTTGGTGCAGGACGCAGAGCGGTGAGAGGTTTGGGGCGGTACGTGGAAAAAAGTAGGTGCTGAACCTGATAGCCTTCCCCTGCCCCGAGGTAAGATCTGCCATACTTCCATTGGGAGTGCCTTCTAACGTCCCATCCCTCGACCTCCCCCATTCCCTCCTCACGCACACACTCTTGTTGCACACACAGGTGCTGAACCTGATAGCCTTCCCCCGCCCCGAGTACGACCTGCCATACTTCTGTTGAGAGGGCCCTGTAACATCCCATCCCTCCCTTTTATGCCCTCCCCTTCCCCCCTCCCAACACACACAGGTGCTAAATCTCATCGCCTTCCCCCGCCCCGAGTACGACCTGCCATACTTCTGTGCCGACCTCGTAACCTTCCCCAGGGGCCACCTCATTGTGCTGTGAGTGCTCAATGCGGTGCTCCACGGTAGTCAGCGGTACTGTGTGGTGCCTCAGTTTAAGTCAGCCATACTTCTGTGCCGACCTCGGTACCTTCCCCAGGGGCCACCTCATCGTGCTGTAAGTGTTCAGTGCGGTAGTTAACGGTAGTCAGCAGTGCTGCGTGCTGTCTCAGCGTTACTGAGCGGTGCTTCTGTCTATGTCGACCGCGTCTCGTCGCCTGCCCCCACGGCACCTCATTGTGCTGTGAGTGTTCGGTGCTCAGCGGTTCTGCGTAGTACCTCAGTGGCACTGAGTGGTACCTCAGCGATTCTCAGCGGTGGTAGTGAGTGGCACTGTCTCGATGTTTCTGTCATCCGTTTGCCTTAAGATCTGATCGGGTTGCTTGCCTCCACAATTTTCTTTCTGAGTCGACTCAACTTTCACCTTGGATCTGATCAGGTGCTTTATCTCCACTATTCTCTTCTCTATTGCTTTATCTCCACTATTCTCTTCTCTATTGCTTTGTCTCCACTATTCTCTTCTCTATTGCTTTATCTCCACTATTCTCTTCTCTATTGCTTTATCTCCACTATTCTCTTCTCTATTGCTTTATCTCCACTATTCTCTTCTCTATTGCTTTATCTCCACTATTCTCTTCTCTATTGCTTTATCTCCACTATTCTCTTCTCTATTGCTTTCTCTCCACTATTCTCTTCTCTATTGCTTTATCTCCACTATTCTCTTCTCTATTGCTTTCTCTTCACTATTCTCTTCTCTATTGCTTTCTCTCCACTATTCTCTTCTCTATTGCTTTATCTCCACTATTCTCTTCTCTATTGCTTTCTCTCCACTATTCTCTTCTGTATTGCTTTCTCTCCACTATTCTCTTCTCTATTGCTTTCTCTCCACTATTCTCTTCTCTATTGCTTTCTCTGCTACATTTTCTTGTCCTCTCTTGGTATGTCGTATCTCCATCCAACAAACCTTCTGTATTCTCCCTCCCTCCCTCTCCGCCGTGCAGGGATCTGAACCCATTGCATCAAACTGAGGAGCATTTCAGCAAGTACATTGCGCCCATCATGCCCATCGCCAACAAGTATATTGAGGTACTGCTGTGAGGTAGAGGGTGGTGCTGTGCGGTGCTGCGTGGTGCGGTATATTGCTGTGTGGTGCTGTTCTGTGTGAGGAGCATTTCAGCAAGTACATTGCGCCCGTCATGCCCATCGCCAACAAGTACATCCAGGTAGTGCTATGAGGTAGAGGGCAGTGCTGTGCGGTGCTGTGTGGTGCTGTGTATTTTGAGCATTTCAGCAAGTACATTGCGCCCATCATGCCCCCCCGCCAACAAGTAAATCGAGGTAAAGCTGTGAGGTCGTGTGCGGTACTGTGAGGTGCTGTGTGGCTGGTGTGTGTGCGTGCATGCGGGTGTTTGTGTGGCGTTGACTGAGGTACGGCGTTGAAATTGATCTAGATATAACATCATTCTTTTTCCGCTCTCCTCTTTTCCCACTTATTCTAATCTCCTTGTTCACCCCCCACCTCACAGCACCTTCCCACCAGCACCTGCCACTGAGGGCCGACTTCACACCAGAGTCGTTTCAGTTCTTCTCCCCACCTCGTCGTGTTTCCTCCTTGTTCATCCCCCCAACCCCACACCCGCCCCAACCAGCACCTGCCGTGGGGGGCGAGTTCACAACGGAGTCCCTTCAGTTCCTCTCCCCGGCTCTCATTCAGTCTGGGCCAAGCTGGGTTCATTCAAACGCCTCTCGCATCCTTCCCTCTCTCCCCCCACGGCCCCTCCTCCCCCAATGCCCTCCCGCCCACCAGCGCCTGCCATGGGGCGGTGAGTTCACAGCAGTCGCTGCAGTTCTTCTCCCCGGCACTCATCTGGGCCAAGCTGGGATCAGAGACCTCTTCACAACGTTCCCTCTCTCCCCCAACCCCTCACAAACACTCCCCCCCCCCCCCCCCCACGCCCCCCCCACTCACACACACCCGCCCCTCAGCACCTGCCATGGGGGGGCGAGTTCACAGCGGAATCCCTTCAGTTCTTTTCCCCGGCGCTCCTCTGGGCCAAGCTGCCTTCAAGGACCTATCGTCGCGTTCCTTCTCACCCCACAAAGCGAACCCCCACCCTTCCCCGAACACCCTCCCTCCCACCACCAGCACCTGCCATGGGCCGGCGAGTTCACAGCGGAGTCGCTGCAGTTCTTCTCCCCGGCGCTCATCTGGGCCAAGCTGCCTTCAAAGACCTCTCATCACGTTCCCTCTCTCCCCCACACCCCACCAACCCCCTTCCTCCCACCAGCACCTGCCATGGGGGGATTGAGTTCACAGCGGAGTCCCTTCAGTTCTTCTCCCTGGCACTCCTCTGGGCCAAGCTGCCTTCAGAGCCCTCTCACAACGTTCCCTCTATCCCCCACACCCCTGAACACCCTCCCTCCCACCACCAGCACCTGCCATGGGCCGGCGAGTTCACAGCAGAATCCCTTCAGTTCTTCTCCCCGGCACTCATGTGGGCCAAGCTAGGTTCAAGGACCTCTCATAGCGTTCCCTCACTCCCCCAAATCCCCGCAACCACCCACCACCACACCCTCCCACCAGCACCTGCCATGGGGCGGCGAGTTCACAGCGGAGTCCCTTCAGTTCTTCTCCGCGGCAGTCCTCTGGGCCAAGCTGCCTTCAGAGCCCTCTCACAACGCTCCCTGTCTCCCCCCAAACCCCCACAACCACGCCCCTCAGCACCTACCATGGGGCGGCGAGTTCACAGCGGAGTCCCTTCAGTTCTTCTCCGCGGCAGTCCTCTGGGCCAAGCTGCCTTCAGAGCCCTCTCACAACGCTCCCTGTCTCCCCCCAAACCCCCACAACCACGCCCCTCAGCACCTACCATGGGGCGGCGAGTTCACAGCGGAGTCCCTTCAGTTCTTCTCCGCGGCAGTCCTCTGGGCCAAGCTGCCTTCAGAGCCCTCTCACAACGTTCCCTCTATCTCCCCTCAACCCCCACACCCCCCAACCCCCCTCCCACCACCACCACCAGCACCTGCCGTGGGGCGGCGAGTTCACAGCGGAGTCACTGCAGATCTTCTCCCCGGCACTCCTCTGGGCCAAGCTGAGCTGAAAGCCCCCTCACAACCCCCCCTGTCTCCCCCAAATCCCCACAACCACCCACCACACCCGCCCCTCAGCACCTGCCGTGGGGCGGCGAGTTCACAGCAGAGTCTCTTCAGTTCTTTTCCCCGGCGCTCATCTGGGCCAAGCTGCCTTCGAACACCTATTGCCGCGTTCCTTCTCACCCCCCAAACCGAGCACACGCCCTTCCCGCAACACCCTCCCTCCCACCACCAGCATCTGCCATGGGGGGGTGAGTTCACAGCGGAGTCCCTTCAGTTCTTCTCCCCAGCACTCCTCTGGGCCAAGCTGGGTTGAACGGCCTCTCACAACCCTCCCTCTCTCTCCCCACAACCCCCACTCACACACACCCGCCCCTCAGCACCTGCCGTGGGGCGGTGAGTTCACAGCGGAGTCTCTTCAGTTCTTCTCCCCGGCACTCCTCTGGGCCAAGCTGCCCCTGGATGCTGACGTCACTGCGCACGTGCTGCCCGCATTCCAGGAGTACCTGCAGGTGCGTGGGGGACTCAGGAGGGATGCTCCCTGCATGGTTGACGGTAGAAAGAGCTCAATTGCAGGGAGTGTGATTGTGTGCAGTGTGCTTGTTGAGTCGACAGACTGCGCATGTGCTGCCCGCATTCAAGGAGTACCTGCAGGTGGGTGGCTGACTCGGGAACACTCCCTGTGTGAATGACCCTAGAGAGAGCGTGATTGCAGGGAGTGTGATTGCAGGAGTGTGATTGCAGAGAGGGAGGCATGCAATAGTGGATTTTCCATATAGAATGATCCAAAAGGCACCGCGCATGTGCTGCCTGGCTTCAAGGAGTACCTGCAGGTGCGTGGGTGACGGTAGAGGGTGACGGTAGAGGGTGACGGTAGAGGGTGACGGTAGAGGGTGACGGTAGAGGGTGACGGTAGAGAGTGACGGTAGAGAGTGACGGTAGAGGGTGACGGTAGAGAGTGTGAACGTGGAAAGTGGGATGCAGAGAGCGCGATTGCGGAGAGTGTGGAGGGTGAAGATGTGGAGGGTGAAGATGTGGAGGGTGAAGCCACGTGAGAGGTGAAGCCACGTGAGAGGTGAAAGGTGGACCCACTTATCCCCTGCCCCCGCACACTGCAATCAGGCATGGCTGCTCATGGTGGACGCATGTGAGCCCATGCGCTACCACCTTAGTCCGCCCATTCTCCACCTGCCCTGCCCCCGCACACTGCAAGCAAGCATGGTGGACGCATGTGAGCCCACCAGCCACCCACCAGCGATGGCCGCTGCCTTGCTACTTCCTGATTTCCCCTTCCCCTACTTCTAACCCTTTCCCACCCCCAAACCCGTCCTCACCCCCTTCCCTCCCTCTCACCCTGCAGCAAGCAGGCGTGGTTGCGCATGGTGGAGGTGTGGTTGCGCATGGTGGAGGCGTGGTTGCGCATGGTGGATGCGTGGTTGCGCATGGTGGAGGCGTGGTTGCGCATGGTGGATGCGTGGTTGCGCATGGTGGAGGCGTGTGAGCCGGGGCCCACCAGCAACCCAGCAGTGATGACTGCTGCCGTGCCCCTCCCTCCTTTCGTCCCACCTGCAGCCCAACAACCCCCCCTTTCCCCCCCTCTACTCACAGGCATGGTTGCACATGGTAGACGCATGTGAGCCCACCAGCGACCCAGCAGTCACAGCTGCTGCTTTACTCCTCCGCCTTCTCCCTTTCCCCATACCCCTACCCCAACTCCCCCTCCCCTTTCCCCCCCCATTACTTACAGGCATGGTTGCGCATGGTGGAGGCATGTGAGCCCACCAGCGACCCAGCAGTGATGGCACACAACATGGAGTCACAGCATCGCTACATTTGCTGGCGCTCCGTCAAGGTAAGGGCCTCCCTTGCTTGCTTGTTTGTTTGCTTGCGTTCGTGCGTTGGGGTTCGCTGTGGAATTTGCGGTTTTTTTGTTTCTTCTGCTGTGCTGTTACTGTGTTTTCCCTTAGATGGGTACCTGCTTCACCCGAGTCTCATTGGTCTTCCTTTTGCCTGCCTTACTCCCTCTCTTCTCTCTCCCCTTATTCTCTATCTCTCTCCCGCTCACCTCTCTTTATCCTTTCTCCATCTGTCCACACACACTCACTTATTCATCATTTACACTCTCAATCATTCACCCACTCGCTTATTCACTCACTCCTTCACACACTCACTCACTCACTCACTCACTCACTCACTCACTCACTCACTCACTCACCCACCCATTCACATCCAGGACCCTGGCCGGCCGCTCTTGACGCGCCTGTTTGGATCTGAACGATGCGAGGTGAGCTCCCCTGTATATCCCGCTTCTGGCTTTCACCTCCTTCCATTTCTCCTGCAACTCTTTGAGGCTTCACTGCAACCCTCTTTCTTGTTCGCAAGTTTCCCCGTAATCCAATCGACTGAAAAAGCACCACAATGTAGCGGTTTCTTGCCCTGAATAAATATTCCCGCTTGCTCAGATCCGCGACTCTCCATGCCCACAGACTCTCAGGCCCTTCAGCAGTTGGGTTGTAGTTATATGTGACCCTTGAAGAGGGCCTCTCAGACCCTTGAAGAGGCCACATGTGACCCATTTCAGTTCTCACCTCCCCTGCAATTCGCAGTTCTCCTTTCACCAAGTCAAGCTTACTTGCTTCGCTTATTTATACCTTTTCCTTCTGCCCCATCCCCCCTCTGCCAGGAGTTCGTTAAGGGGTTCCTGTTCACGCGGTCCCACTAGCTGGGCACCAAGGCCTTCCTCGCCTAATCTGCTGCACCCCTCTCTCCACTTCTGCCCACTCTCTCTCCTTCCCTTCCCTTTCCTTCTGCCCTATCACACCCCTTGCCAGGAGTTCATCAAGTGATTCCTGTTTGCGGGGTCCCATGGGCTGGGCAGCGAGCCCTTCCTTGACTATTTCGCTTCATCCCTCTCTATCCCCACCTCCGTCCACTCTCGTTCTCCTTCCCTTCCCTACTGCCCCATCCCCTCTCCTCCCCCCTCCCCTTCCCCCCACTGCCAGGAGTTCATTGAGGGATTCTTGTTTGCGGGGTCGCACGAGCTGGGCACCAAGGGCTTCCTGGACTATTTCCCCGACTACCGCCAGGAGGATGGCAGCATCGCCAAGAAGCGATCCATGAAGGGCAAGGCGTACAGTAGTCGACCCTGGGATGCACATGGCCGGCTAATTTTGTGATAAATTGTAAAAACCAGAGGTTTTTGTATGTTTTTGTAAATTATAGCTCTAGTTGTTGGGTGCGCACGTTTACAAGCCACACGTTTATTGTCTGGGGAGGGGACGAGACTTGTGTTGAAGCATTGTCTTGTGCAAACGGGGCATTTGCTAGTTGTGTTGTCAATACCACACCATGCAATGCAGACTATCTGAGTTGATTGCATTGCATTGCATTGCATGCATCCTTGCGGACTACGTGTCGCCCCGCCCCCCCAAAGGACTGCAGCGCGTTACTATGATGTGCGTAACTAATTTTGGAAGCTGAAGTACTACCAGCATGGCTTTTTGCAAGTCATGATATCCATAATATAAGAAAGCAAGCGTACAGATTGCATTTCGTATTCAAATCACACCAACATCTTCACCTAAGACATACGTAGAAAACAAAACAAACAACAAACAACAAACATGATATAGCAATACAGAAAATCAGATGCAAGACACAGGCACATACGGTAATAGTACATGCCATTGTTATGTTTGTCCATCTGTTCCTTTTCACTTGGTCGCAGCTGCTGCCCCAGCTTTTCTCTCCTTCCTAGCCTCTATCGCAGCCGCCTTCTCTGCCTGCTTCTTCTTCTTAGCCTCGATAGCAGCAGCTTTCTCCTCCTACTTCCTTTTCTTTTCAGCAATAGCAGCAGCTTTCTCTTCCTGCTTCCTCTTCTTCTCTGCAATAGCAGCCGCTTTCTCTTCCTGCTTCCGTTTCTTCTCAGCGATAGCAGCCGCCTTAGCTTCCTGAAGCCTCTTCTTCTCCGCAACAGCAGCAGCCTTCTCCTCCTGCTTCTTCTTCTTCTCAGCAATCGCAGCTGCTTTCGCCTCCTGCTTTGCCCGACGTGCCTCCACAGCAGCATGCTTAGCAGCAGCAGCTTGCTTCTTAGCAGCAACAGCAGCCGCCCTCCTAGCCGCTGCTTCCTTCCTCTGCCTTGCCACCTCCTCTGCGCTCAGCACAACAACAGTGCCTCCAGAAGACCCACTGCCGCTGCCGCCACCGCCACTGGGGGTAGCAGTAGGAGGAGTAGTAGTACACGACGCCGGCCCTTCGTCACTCCCATCATTGCAATTCACCGCCCCGTCGCAAAACAACCCCTCTGCCACGCACTGCAACCCATCCGCACACTTCTTAAACCCATCCGGGCAACTATACCCTCTACAAAACGCCTTATCCTCATCCTCCGCCTCGTCAAGCACAAAACAGTCCTGCACGCCGTCACAGAGCGTGCCCCGCGCGCAGTAGAACGTTTTAGGGCACTGAATCATCCCGGACGAGCACACGTGGCTCTCGCAATTCCTCTCATCATACCCGTCGTAACACGTCTGGTAACCGTCGCAGAAATCCTGCTGCCGCAGGCACGCGTAATAGCTGTCGGAGGGGCACTGCTCCATGCCCTGGTCGGCGCAGTAGTTGCTGTCGTCCGGGTAGCCGCCCGGGTAGAAGCCCAGGCACTGCAACCCCTCGTCGCTGCCGTCCGCGCAGTCCGCGTCGTTGTTGCACGCGCTGCCCGGGGGCATGCACCCGGTGCCCGAGGGGCAGGACTCCTGGCGGACCCAATGGGGAAACGAGGGAAAGGGAGAAATAAGGAAAGGGTTGGGGGAAAGAGTTGCGGCTGTCCGCGCAGTCCGCGTCGTTGTTGCACTCGCTGCCCGGGGGCATGCACCCGGTGCCCGAGGGGCAGGACGCCTGCCAGTGGTGAGCAAGGGGAGGGGGGCAAAAGAGAAGAAAAGGCAGACAGTTGGTGAGCAAGGGGGCAGGGCACGTGGTGGCACGTCCGCGCAGTCCGCCACCCCGTTGCACTCGCCCCTCAGGGGCACGCACCCGGCGAGCGTGGGGCAGGAGGACTCCTGGCGGGGGAAAGGGTGGGAAACAGCAGGACAGGGGAGGGAAGGAGCTCCGTTGAGTCTGACTCCAAAACAACGTTAATTGAAATTTCAAGTTTGTCGGGTCAGGAAGCGCGGAAAGGACGTGCGTTCAGGGAGCGGCGCCAGGGAGCGGCGCCGTGCCACTGAAACCGGAAGTTTGAAGCAGCACCCACCTTGTTAACGCGTCCGCAGTCGAAAGAGCGGCAGAAGTCGAACGACTCGTCGCTGCCGTCGGAGCAATGCGGCGCGCCGTCGCACACCTGCGACTCGAGCATGCACCCGCCGCCACTGGGGCACTTGAGCTCCCCTTGCTGGCATTCCTCAGGTGGTTCAACCCCCGGCTCGTTCTCGGGGACGTCTTGAAGGGCCCGCCGCGCGAGATGCTCGACGCGGCCGGCGCCGCCAACGCGGTGCGCCGCTGGTCCAGTGGCGGCGAGGAGAGCGCTGATGGTGGGTCGAGCTGCGGCGTCCGTCGATGCTGAAAGGATGAGGAGGAGGAGGAAGGGGAGCGCTGTCGCGGCGACCTCATCGTATGCGGGACGTTTTGCCGCCATTTCTGTTGGTCGCGAAACGCCACTCGGGAGGCTGACGGGCCCTAAACTCGAGTTCTAATTCTCGGGCCCTGAGATTGGCAATCAGATTTGAACACAGAATTCAAGCGAGGGAAGTGATATTTCAACAGACTAGTACTTCAAATATATAGGTCAACACAAATTACGTGAACCTGGCGTATCCAACACGTTACCCAGGCGCCTTGTTTCACCCCGAGTCGCACACGCAAACTCAATATACCTCCGTCAAACGCGCCTGACGTTTGAATTTGTTCCTTGTCTAATACTCCTCACGTGACCCACGCATTTCTCCCCGTCAAACACATTTCTCCATTGATTCGCCTCTTCCCAAGTTGATTTGCCCCTATTTCGAGCCACTTCGGGTCTTCCGAGCCTCCAAGGGCGGATGACCTGATGTCAGACACGAGGCAAGAATGCACCCTTAGGCTAGGAACTATTCAGGTGCATGCCAGGGCAGGTGCGTACACTTTACAGAGATTAACAAATTGCGATCTTAAATTCACACGCTCTTCAAAACTCGAATTGGCATAAATGCAATATGCTACAAAAGTCGGCAAACGCTTTGAGTCAACTGCTGAAGTGTTACAATGCTAATTGAGTAATTCTGGAAGCTGAAGTTCCATGTGCCATGGCTGCTTGCAAGTCAGATAGCCATAAGCAAGCATACAGATGGAAATTCAGAACAAAAGCAAAAGCAAAAACAAGAACAAGATATTGTGGTACAGAAAAACAGAAGATGTAAGATACAACCACATATGGTATAATTACATGATTTTGTCATGTTTGTCCATTTGTTCCCCTTCACTTGGTCTTTCACTTGGTCTCGGCTGCTGCTGCCCTTGCAGCCTCCCTCTCTTTCCTAGCCTCTATCGCCGCAGCCTTCTCAGCCTGCTTTTTCTTCTTAGCCTCAATTGCAGCCGCCTTCTCTGCTTGCTTCCTCTTCTTCTCAGCAATAGCAGCAGCCTTAGCTTCCTGCAGCCTCTTTTTCTCAGCAATAGCAGCAGCTTTTTCCTCCTGCTTCCTTTTCTTCTCAGCAACAGCAACCACCTTTGCATCCTGAAGCCTCTTCTTCTCCGCAACAGCAGCAGCCTTCTCCTCCTGCTTCTTCTTCTTCTCTGCAATCGCAGCTGCTTTCACCGCCTGCTTCGCCCGCCGTGCCTCCACAGCAGCATGCTTAGCAGCAGCAGCCTGCTTCTTAGCAGCAACAGCAGCCGCCCTCCTAGCTGCTGCTTCCTTCCTCTGCCTTGCCACCTCCTCTGCGCTCAGCACAACAACAGTCCCTCCGGAAGAACCAGACGAGCTCCCACCTCCGCTGCCGCCACCGGGGGTCGCAGTAGGAGTGGGAGGAGGAGGAGATGTAGTGCCGCTTCCAGAAGAGCCCGATCCAGTTTCAGGAGGAGGAGGAGGAGTAGTGGTAACAGCGCCTGTTCCACCCCCAGCAGGGGGGTTCACAGCACACGTCGCCGCCCCTTCGTCACTCCCATCATTGCAATTCACCGTCCCGTCACAAAACAACCCCTCTGCCACGCACTGCAACCCATCCGCACACTTTTTAAACCCCTCCGGGCAGCTATACCCTCTACAAAACGCCTTATCCTCGTCCTCCGCCTCAGCAGTCGCAACACAGTCCTGCACGCCGTCACAAAGAGTCCCCCACGCGCAGTAGAACGTCTTGGGGCACTGAATCATCCCGAACGAGCACACGTGGTTCTCGCAATTCGCCTCGTCGAGCCCGTAGCACGTCTCGTAACCGTCGCAGTAATCCTCCTGGCGCAGGCACGCGTAGCGGTCGGAGGGGCACTGCTCAAGGCCCTGGTCGGCGCAGTAGTTGCTGTCGTCCTGGTAGCCCTGCCAGCACTGCCGCCCCTCGTCGCTCCCGTCCGCACAGTCCGCCACGCCGTTGCACTCGCTGCCCGGGGGCATGCACCCGGTGAGCGAGGGGCAGGACACCTGGTGAGGAGGAGGGGGGTTGGGGGGAAGGGGGCGAGAAATAAGGCATACGGCTGGTGAGCATGGGGGCAGGGCACCTGGCGGCCGTCCGCGCAGTCCACCACGCCACGCCGTTGCACTCGCCCCCCGGGGGCATGCACCCCGTGAGCGCGGGGAAGGGGGCAAGATGAAATGACTATGAGGCGCCTTGGGAGTAGGCATAGAGCCGGCGAGCATGGGGCAGGACACCTGGTGGCCTTGATGGGGAAACAGGGGCAAAGGAGAAAAGGGGAAACGGTGGAAGGGAGGAAAGGGGAAAAGGGAAAACGGGAAAACGGGAAGGGAAAATGGGGCAAAGGAGGGGTGGGAAGGAGTTCCCATGAGTCTGACTCAGAGGCAATGTATTTTCCAGAAATGAGAACGGGCATTGGAGATTCTCATAAGCTCGGGTTCAGAGGCGAGGAAGGGAAGCGCAGAGAACGGTGGCACAAAAGATCCACGAGTTTGAAGCAGCACGCACCTTCCTTTTGTGACGTTCAGAAAGGGAGCTTGAAACAGCACGCACCTTGCGAACGAGCTGGCAGTCGAACTCGCGGCAGAAGTCGGGCGACTCGTCGCTGCCGTCGGAGCAATGCGGCTTGCCGTCGCACACCTGCGACTCGTGCATGCACCCGCCGCCACTGGGGCAATTCAAATTCCCCTGCTCCTCATGGCACTCCTCAGGGGGTTCCACCCACGGCTCGTAGTCGGAATAGTCTTGAAGCGCCCGACGCGCGAGATTCTCGGAGCGGCCGGCGCCGCCAACGCGGCGCGCCGCTGGTCCAGTGGCGGCGAGGAGAGCGCTGATGGTGGGTCGAGCTGCGGCGTCCGCCGACGCTGAAAGGATGAGGAGGAGGAGGAAGGGGAGCGCTGTCGCGGCGGCAGTGCTGCGGCCGACCCCGTCGTATGCGGGACGTTTTGCCGCCATTTCTCCAAGCCAGACAGAAGTCGATCGTTCTCAGGTAACTCGCAAGAGGCACTGAACTGAATTGCATCACACAAGCAGAGCTGCAAAGCAAGGTGTGGCATGATGGCGTGGAAGAGGACGCGGGACGAGGCAGGTGGACCAGCGCCGTGCGCTTTCCGACCTTGCAACTGCGCGCGCATGTTGTTCCGCGAGTGAGCGGATCCGCCGATCCGCGCTGGCAGAAGTCGGAAACCCTAGTTTTGCTCGGCTGGGATGCAGCCTGACTCAAATAAGATCATGCGACGGAAGGAATGCGGTGCCTACGACAGTAAACCAGCTGTCACAGAGGCAGGCGGAGTGCCGGCGGAACGAGAAGCACCCGCAGTTACACGGGCAGGTTGTTTCCGAAATAGCGGCTCGCAACAGAATTGGTTGGGAGGTCTAGGTTCACTGGTGTCTACTGAGGTCAACGGGTTTGGCTGGTGCAGGCATCAAACTGAGTTATGGGGGATTGAGCGGAAGTGGTCGTGGGGGGGAATAGGGTTTCCGAATGGGCGGAAAGGGGAAAGGATTTGGAATTTGTACATACACTACTTTATGTACAGTAAACAGTTTTGAGGCAGTCGAATGCCCTGCACAGTAAACGATTGATTCCAGGTGGGTTGCAGGTGGACCAGGTCTGACCAGATGGTACGTGTGGTGTGTGGATGATCACAGTTCTAGTGGAACTCGTTTCAAGCTACACCTTTTTAGTGGAACCCAACCCAACTTGAAAATAAAATTAATGTAGATACTTTCTTTCACATGGGTGTTGTTGACATGAAGGAGAATACTTGTGTTACAGTCCAGCAGTTCGATTGTTTTAACACACTATGTCTATATCGTGGTGTTAATTTAGCAAATATCTGTTCATGAATGTAACTGCCACGAGCGTGAAAAGTCTCGTAAATATTCGCGTTGCTAGAAAGGCATAGTGCAGAGTAGCGTAGCGTAGAGGAAACATTTTGTAGAACAGGATCAAATAGAGAACTTGCAACTGAATGGATAGGTTATGGCTTCACATAGCATGGTATTTATGCAGGCAACTATCATTCCCGGAGACCCCTTTGCGCTCCAATATTGCCAACTCAAAAATATTAGTGGCAATAATATTACCCCAATAATACTAGACTCTAATAAACTAGTGTCAGACTATCACACCCCGTGCCTGCTGCCTCTCACACGTCTACTCCCATCGGCGTTCCTAGCAGCCGCAATCGAGTTTTCTGGTGCGGATAATGGTTTGTCCCTCGTTGTGAGCTGCCGTTCGTAGACTAGCCTTTCTGGCTCCGTTCACTATTCGCTCCAGCCGTTCCTAGTCTAATAGCGCACTTGCCATGGCGTTCACTCGTGTCCTGCATTTTGATGCGGAGGGTAGAGTGCTAGAATTTCCCACCTGGCTCCTCTGGGTGCACGCCTTTGGTGACCTTCCTTCGCCCCGCGCCCTGCTGACCTGCCTCCTGAGCCCACTGGCGCAGACCGGGAGCGCTTTGCACAGGCCCGTACAACTCTGTCGGTGTGGCAGTCTCGTCACGCTGCGGCTCGCATTGCTCTTGGCAGCCTTCTCCCCGAGACTGAGGAGGCCCACGTCAGCCAGGTTTGATCTGCCAATGACTGTTTTGCTGCGATTAAGACCCGTTACTCCACTCCCTCCTCCGCCTCTCTTGGTCGCCTTTTCATGTCGTTTCTGTTTCCCGACCTATGAGCGTTTGCTTGTAATGGTGACCTTGTCACCCACCTACACTCGCTCGACGCTAGCTATTGTGCTGCTTGTACCGAGGCTGAGCTTGCGGTTGCCTCCCCGCCCATGCACATCACACTTCACTTCATGACCGCCTTGCACCTGTACGCGACACGCTTCTTTGGAAGCACCCTAGTGAGCTCACTATCGAAGTCCTTCAGACAGCTCTCAATGACATCGAGAGCAATATCTGATCCGTTGCCTCCGCTTCTGCCGCCGTAGTTCCCCCGCTCTTTCAGGGGTGTACTGTCCGACAGCTCCCGACCTACACATCTTCTCTTGCATTTGATGAGACAGCAGCCGTGTCCGTCGCTAATGGACGGGCCCGAGGCAGGGGAGGTAAGAGAGGGGGGAAGGGTGGTGGCGGGGGTGGCGGAGGAGGTGGCGGTACTAGCGCGTCTAGTGGAGGCGACTCTGGAGGTGGTACTGGGCCTGCGGGCATGACGGGTGGGGGTGATGGACTAGTTGGTTGGTACACAGCACAACAGCGACAGCAGTCCCCAGCAGCAGCAGCCACAGCAGGGGCAGGAGCAGCAGCAGACGCCATAGCCGTCACTTTTGCAGTAGTTGTTCCCACCTGTGAGTGGCCTCCGTGCCCTTCGTCTCCCTTCCTCCCCTCCGAACCGCTCACCGCCTCCTACAGCACATGGTCTTCCTCCTCCGGACTCGTCCGTGACTGTTTTCTCTCCTCCTATGTCACAACCGTCTTCTCCTATTGTCTCGCACACTTGGGCCACTCGTTGTCCTCCTCGTGCTCATCCCTCGTCTCCTTTTCACGACCTCCACTCTGTCATGCTTCGTTCTAGTCCTCCTCGTTCTCCGCCTCAGTCTGTTCTCCCGTCACCTCCTACGTCGTCCCTTATAGCCCCCTCTCACCCTATTTCTGACGACTACTGCTCGGCTCGTCCTGTTGTCTCTCGTGTTCTCCCCTCTCTTCTCACGGACGCTACTGTCTCTCCGTCTGTCTCGGCTCTTACTGCCACTGTCGCTGACTTTGCCACCACCCGCCGCCTTGACTACGCCACCCGCGTGGTGGCTGCCCGTCCTCTGTCCGCCATGGGTGAATTTGCCCTTGGCTGTGACGTCCTAGAGGACAGGCACTTTGATATGGAGTTCTTGGCAACCGCTTCTCCCCATCTCTGTGCCATGCTGCTAGCCCCTGAGGAAGACCCCGGCGCCCTTAACATGCCAACTCTTCGCACGTACCATAAGACAGTGTCAGGGCAGTGGGCTTCTCAGTAGATAGCGGCCATGGACTTAGAGATGACGTCTTGGAGATCCACAGGCACGTACGTCGACGCAGTTCTAAGGCGAACGTAGTCGTTGGCATGTGGATCTTCAAGATGAAGTAGTCGCCTGGATCACCTCCTGTCTTCAAGGCACGCTACGTGGCTAGAGGTTTCAGTCAGCGTGAGGGAGTAGACTTCTTCCAGACCTTCTCCATGACCCAGAAGATTGTTAGAATGTAGAACTGAACGAGAATGAATGAACTAGGCAGCAGGGTGATACAAGTAGGAAACCCTAGCAATGTTGTACTCTCTAAGGCTAAACCCACTATAGCCTACACAATATAAACATGTATAATGTTTGACACACCCCCATAGGCGAAGTGGGAGACAACCAGATGGTCACAAGACCAGTCAAAGCAAAGCAAAGCAAGCTCAGGGTGGATCTCAAGGAAACCACACAAATTCTAAGCACAAGCAAGCGGTCACATGACCAGTTCACATGCAGTTTGATAATATAACAAGAGGTACAGTGATCACAACCTAGCAAGTGTAAGCATGCAGGTATATATATATAGAGATCACAGTACAAGCAGAGTCAAGAAGTAAGCAAGTGAGGCACAGTAGGCACAAGGCCTAGAACAGTACAGAAACGCTGATGATCACAAGGCTGAAGCGCCTTGGTGAACACATCAGCAGTGTTGGCCCGAGTGGCCACGTAAGCAAGACGAAGCTGACCACGCTGCTGCAACTCTCGAGCAAGGAAGTAGCGCAGAGCGATGTGCTTCGTTCTGTGCTCCAGTCTGTGCTCCTGACACAAGGCAATGGCGGCCTTGTTGTCGACGTACAGCACTGGAGGAGAACGAGGCCGCTCTCCCAGGTCGGTCAGCAGGTAGGTGAGCCAGCGAAGCTCCTGGGCAGCCATGGCTGTGGCGTAGATCTCAGCCTCACAACTGGAGCTGAGAACAGAGGAAGAGCGTGTAGAACGCCAAGAAACTGAGCCAGAGCCAAGGCTGAAGGTGTAACCCTGAGACGACCGCTGAGTAGCCTGGTCGTCAGCCCAAGAAGCGTCTGAGTGTCCAGTGAGGACAACGTCGCGTCGTCCTCCAAGCACAAGCCCCATGCCCGACGTACTGCACAAGTAGCGCAACACCCTCTTAGCGGCATCCATGTGCTCCTTCCGGTGACGGCCAGGAGCGACATAGCGTGCTAGGATGCTAAGAGGGTAGGCTAGGTCAGGTCGAGTGCAGGTCATCAGGTACATGAGGCAACCCACAAGCTCTGGATACGGGCCACTCGGCTCTACGGACTCATCCGAAGGCAGAGCTGAGAGCGAGTGACCGGTAGGCAGAGGAGTGGGCTGAGGCGAGGAGTACGTGAAGCGGAAGCGCTGAAGGACCTGCTGCACCATGTGTGACTGAGTCAAGGTGATGGTGCGCTGTGCTCTGTCCCGGGTGATCCGCAAGCCAAGATAGCTTGTCAGCTCACCCAGGTCTGTGCACGTGTGTCTCTTCTGCAGCTCCGACTTCACGTGGGCGAGTGCCTCAGTGTCAGCAGTAGCAAAGACCAAGTCGTCTACGTACACGAGAACGTAGAACGGCGGCAGAGTGGTGTCGGTGCGTAGAAACAGCGACGGATCAGCAGTAGAAGGAGCAAACCCAAGAGCAGCAAGAGTAGTCCTCAGTGTGTCGTGCCACTCACGGGGTGCCTGGCGGAGACCGTAGACTGGCCGCCGAAGGCTCCACTGGGTACCAGCAGGGAACGACCCAGTGAAGCCAGGTGGGCGGCGCAGCCAGATCTCCTCGTGCAGGCTGCCCTGTAGGAAAGCAGTGCTGAAGTCAAGAGAGTGGAGCTCGTAGTCACGCTGAGCGGCGACGTGCAGCAGAACCCGAAGAGTGGTCATCTTCGGGGTCGGGGAGAAGGTATGGAAGAAGTCAACTCCCTCTCGCTGACTGAATCCTCGTGCAACGTAACGCACCTTGAAGACAGGCGGAGAACCCGGCGGCCGCTTCACC